ATATTCTAAACGTTTAAATTACACAAAAAAACGAACTTTTTTATGTCCATATCCTACTTACAAGACAATAGTTCATCAATTAAGTAGTATATATATAATTTCGGAGGGAGTTTTATCCCCCTAACCTTCCCCAAAATAACGCCACTGACCATGGGCATGGTCAAATACAATTGCCTCTTCCTGCCACTCAGTCACATCCTTACACTTACCCGTATTTACCCACAATTTCCGCTTAAAACAAAAATACCTTACTGATGGCTACTTGCCTTTCATCACGTTGAGGCAGTACGCACGCAGTTGATCACGTACCCTTACCATTGCTTCATCTAAGGAAACCTAACGATTGTTCGGTGCTTGCTCACTAGGGTGACTGATTTTTTTTTGTCCGTTGATCTTAGTATGGCCCTCATATTTTTTGCTTGTTCGTATATTTTAGTGATTTTGAATATTTTATTCGGGAAATTCACTGTGTGCAATTTTTTATTAGTGTAGCAGTATCATATTCAAAACTTGCCATTCAATAACAACTACACTCAAATCCATATTTGGCGAGAAATGCAGTGTCTTGCTGGTGGCGTCTCAAGGAAAGCAATTTTTCATCGATAATAACATGCACATTTCTTATAAATTTCAATGCCATTTTCAACGATTTATCTATCTACGATATCTATACGAACAACGATATATGTTCGCCTAATAAGTGAGAATCGTCTTATGGATATCTGCCTGGTGTCACTGGAAGTAGCCACTATGATCCGTGGGGTTGCCTCATGGACGTCTGTCACATAGTCTCTCAAAATCCTGAGAAGATTCAATGGAAGCTGTCTGCTTGTAGACGTAATGACATGCGCAATTTGAATCGTCCATATTGATTATATTAGTCTTAACTGATCTAATTATAATTTTTTAAATGTAAAAATTAGTTTTTTATTTAGACGAAAAAAAGCATCCAAGTCTACGCTAATTACTGGCGTGTGGGCATTTCAACAGGATTTCAGCTTTCTTTCCCATTTACAATTACGCATTAATTTTTTCAAGTAATTGATATATGATCTAAATAACAAAAATTAAAAAAAATTAAATTCGTATTAATTACAATATTACAAATTCATGAAAGATTTGGTATGTATGGTAGTAAATGTTTGGCTTCCTCAAGTAAAAATATTCTAATTTAAATCGCCCACGACCATGCTAAATAATCTGCGATGATAATTTAAATAAGAAAATTCGGTACAAAATTAAGTTTTCCCTCTGTCTCGGAATAAACACAATTATTTTTTTACGGATTTCAAACCCTTAATAACCCGCCTCTAAAAATTTCAGTTATAAGTTCAATATAGTCAGGTTTGTATTAGATACTTGTGGCTGGGTGGCTCAGTTGGTTTGTCATCGGCGTTCTGAGCCCAAGTTTGCGGGTTCGATCCCCGGCCCAGACACCGGATTTTCGGGATGCGGAAAATCCTCAGCGGCCATGTCGTATGATTATGCGGCATGTAAAAGATCCCTGGAGTGCCTTCTTGGCTCTTGGCATTTCCGGCAAAATTAAAATTCCTATAGCACTTCATCATCCAAATAGAGTCTCGGTGCTGCCATCTAGTGAGGCAGAAACTAGACGTCCAAATTAACATGGTCAACGGTATCTCACCCATTGTGGTGGTCCTGAAAGAGTGGATACCACTTCTGGAGAACGCATTAGGTCTGCTCATCGGGAAGACTGATTGTGCAGCTCATAGGAAATAAAAAAAAAGTATTGCATACTTTGCTACTTAAAGTGTATCAAAAATTCGAACTATTATATTAAAAAATATTAATAACTAATATAATATTAATAAATAAAAAATTAAAAATAATATTAATAAATAATGTTAATAAAAAATAATAAATATAATATTGATATTAATATCTGCATAAATAAGCAGTTTTCACTTTGTTCACACCCAAAAATAAATAAGAAATTGAATTCTTTTTAAAGGAAATTGCTGAACTGTTTTGTTTATTTCCTGTTTTGTGAATGAAATTTACAAGTGTAATTAACATATGATGACTAACAAGCGGTCATCTTCACTTATTCAAAAAAGTTGTTAGCTCCACTCTCATGTTTGCACTAAGTTATCTTAATTTTAAAATCAATACACTCCAGTTTCTTCTTTTTTATCTATTGCTTAATACAGTGATATCACAAATCGGACAAGATATAAAAGCACTATATTCAATCACTTTTAGTCTCAGTATTTCAAAATAAACAGGCGGAGTTACATAATTTTCGATGATTTGTTTTTAAAGTTTTTAGATGTAAACTGAGTAGTAAATAAAAGAATACCATTTTTTAAAAAAAAGTTTATTAATGTTTTTATTGTTGCTTTAACATTTAACACTCATTGTTATGCTGATACGCTGATTTAGAGCAAAGACGTTTTTCATTCATCTGCTTTCTTTGCGTTGCACTTAGAGTTACGGATAACTTTCACCTGAAAAGGAAATATGGATTATTTCAGTTATAATAAAAGCTGAGTGCAACAAAACTAATGGTCACTTTTATAAAGAATGTTTGAATTTGCCGAATCAAGCAACTTTTGTCATGCAATTTAAGGTCGGAGAACAAATGTTAAACAATTAGAGTGCGTCTACTTGGCGAAACCATCCAGTTTGGTTGCTAATGTTGGACTAAAACTACACTAATAGATACTTGACGAAAATCGGGGATTCATGTTTAATGATGATCCGAAGACAACAGTGGCGCATGCGTACTGTATTCAATTTAGATAGGAGAGCAGAGGTTGAAAACAACCACCCGGTCTTTACCCCACGCTATGTAAGAAACCAAACAAAGTCGTTTTTTATTTGCTTTCTATGTTCATTCCATTGAAGAGCTTAGTGAATGAAGGTTTTAAGTGCCAAATAATTTTGTAAAAGGATGTAAATTAGGAATGAATATTAGAAAAAAAAAGTAAATTATGTTTAAAAGTTTGACAATAAGAACCAGATATTATGCTTTGTCTTCAGTTATTGCACACAAGCTTTAAAATGTCGATATCTATAATCCCTAACTTAGACAGTTTCCGTCCTAGCTTTCGCTTTCTTGGTGTTCTGCTAAGAGGCAAGCTTCCTAGGTAATTTGTTGATTTTTTTTTTTCAAATTAAATATCCTTGGAACTTTCTTCGACTCTGAAATCAATCAAATAATTTCATCCACTAAATTCTCCAAAATCAACCAATCGTTCTTCCCTCGAAGACTCTAAATTTTTTTCTCAAAAATATCCATTAAAGCTTTCTTCGACTAAGCTATATTTCTCATTTATACCAAATTAAGAACTAATCGGTCCAAGAGATTGATGCTGTTATTTTCTGTATCAAAAATCATTAGTTATTAATTAATATTTAATGATCTGGTTTTTCATCAAAATAAAAGAAAGAAACTCCATACCCCATCTTTTTCGTATTCTTCTTCGGGTACGCAGTCTAACCCTTCAACGCAAGGACACATAAATCGATAGACACCCTCATCGTCATGGTGAGTGTGCTCTTTTGTAAAGCAGAAATCCCCTAAAATATTAAATGTGTTACATATTTAAATACAGATAAAGAGGAAACAACATGAGAATCTATGCAATGTACAAACTATGCAATTTTAAATATAAAAAAAAACGAACAGAATTGAACAGAATTGATGAATTAATTCTTAAATAATGAAAACCTTTTTAAAATACACTGGTGAAATAAATTAAGAGAAGTTGCATATTTTATCGAATATCATGAAAAGAACTAAACTGATTGTAAAACCATTGCTTCTAAACTAAAATGCGAATCTTGTACATCAAATACGCAAGCGTACACGTGCGTGCAGGTTGAGCAAGTAGAGAAACAGGCTTTATAAGATGCATTTCATCCGCTAGTACACCTTAGTGAATTTCTTGGTATTATTTTGAAGCAATAGGTTACATTCAACATTGTAACAGTAAAAATGAATAACCTCCAACGTTTAGATGATGGAATGAGTTGGCAAATTGTGGGGAGGCTAGAAGCAGGCCAATCTCAGGTTCAGATTTCTAAAGAATTCATTTTCATGCCCAGCATCGTGTGTAACTTATAGAAACTGTTCCTGGATACCGGATCCATCGAGAGAAAGCATGGACAAGGTCGTCCAAGAGCCACGACGGGCAGGGAAGATCGCCATTTGTCCATTAAAGCGGGGCGTAACAGAGAGGCTACAACTTCTCAGCTCTCTCGTGACTTGTATGCAGCCACAGGAACCCGTGTATCAAGGGTGACTGTTTCCAAACTACTTCGTGAGAGAGGGTTGTTTGGAAGAAGACCTACTGTTTGCGTTCCGCTCATTTTTATGAACAGAATAGTCCATGAAGCATGGTGCAGAGAGCATAGAGATTGGAGTATGGATTAATGGGCGACCGTTTTCTTCACTGATGAGCCCCGGTTCAGCCTAAGCACCGATTCTCGACGTATTTTCATATGTAGAGAACCAGGGACCCGCTACCTACCCTCCACCAATGTCCGCGAAATCGACCATTATGGAGCAGCACGTTTAATGGTCTGGGCAGGCATCATGTTAGATGGTCGCACACCTCTCCTTGTCTTTGAAAGAGGCTCTGTAACTGGTGTGAGATGTAAGGATGAGGTTTTGGAGCTCTATGTCCGCTTTTTCAGGGATGCATTTTGCCCTTAAGCTCATTTTAATGGACGATAACGTGAGGCCACATAGAGCTCTTCAGGTCAACGAATTTCTAGAGAGTGAGGATATCTGAAGGATGGATTGGCCAGCCAAATCTCCAGACTTCAACCCTATAGAGCACGTCTGGGATGCTTTGAAGAGGGCAACTGCAATCCGCTACCACCTCCGAAAACCATCCAGAGAATGAAAATACCGTTGCTGAACGAGTCTGACCAATTGCCACAGGAAATGATAAACTGCCTTATTTCAAGCATGAAATCATGCTGCAAGGCCTGTATATATGTAAGAAGGGACCCTACCTCCTATTAACCCATTTTTATTTGTTTATTCTGCAACCGCTGTTTCAAACCTTCCGACTCCAACTGGTGCTACGCGCGATCATGCTCGTGTATTACAATTGTTGAATGGTTATTTGTTTTGTATTATATCAATGTATGTACATATCCAATTTCATTAAAATTGGTCCAGTAGTTCTTATTATCCAGTAGTTCTTAGTTCTTAGTAGCTCTTAGTAGTCATAGTATTATTACTCAAGAGCAAAACAACCTAAACGATCTTGTTTAAATTTCGGATTCTGTCAATTTCTCTTACTAACGAGTAATCTTAATAGCTGGAGAGAATAAACAAAATATTGAAACGCATCAGAATATTTTTGCACGGCACGCAATTATAAAACTAGTTATTCCAAACATAATGTCATAGGATTGCTTATTAATTGCTTTAAAAAAAATAATTGCCGTTTTAACATAATTTCAAATTCAAACTGTGTAATTTCAAATGAGTTCCGTTTTGATTTTCTTTCTATTATCTTGATATAGATATGCTTACCTTCCTGTCTTATTTTCCGACATCTGTTCGTAGTAAAGGCACTGAGATTGACACAGCATTCATCTTCGTCACAATCAGACGATGTGCTGCAGTTTTTGCCTAATTCAGCAACCTACAAGTTAAATAGGTTTCATATAAAAAAAAATATATGTTTTAAAACATTGTGATCCCTACAGTCATACAGAGAAAAACTTAAAATGGATTGGGATTGCTATTTTTAGTGTGAAAAACAGGGATGCTTAGGCAGAGGTGAAGATAAGCGTATAGTTCGTTCACCAGGAGTTGGCACTTGGCTTGGCTCAGCCTTCATCACGTGGTAACCAACGTTACTTTTTCGCTATTTTTGGGAGAAGGATGTGAACAATCCTGAACAGGGTTGCTTTTTGTCGATCGTATGACAAAAATATTTATTTCTCAATATTTATGTGCATTTTTTAACATTAAATATTTCATAAATTTGATTATATTTCTCTTTTTTGAGTGAATAGTTTATCCTTTTTGAGACATTTTGCTGCAATATATTTAATTTATATTTAAAACCTACAGTTTCGAAACAATCACATTTCATCGAATTATTCCAATAAATATGGTTATACTTTTTGAGATATATTTGCAAAGTTACACATTTCTTAGGTATATCTGAATGAGTTCAACACAAGTTTTTTTTATAAAAATAACTTTAATTAAAATTTTAGTTTTATTTTTGATAAGCAGAGTTCCTGAACGTTATAAATATAAAATAAATGCTGTACAATGAGAAAAATATTTTTCTTAAAATAAGGTCAAATTTCAATATAAATGTCACGTTCTTAATGTCCCACCACAATCTCTAAACAAAATTGTGATGCATACATATCAAAATTATTTTTTTCCCTAGATCAGTATTACGATTACTTGTGTTTCGAGCTAAAATCTTTTAAAAAGTATTAACTATACAATGTAATAGGTCTAAATATATTTTTCAGTATTGATTTTTCACACAAAAACTCTAAACATTCTTACTTAAAGCATGATAAAAATAATAAATTCAGAATTAGACCTGAGCTTTTAGTTCAAAACATAGCTATCAGTTTATAAAATCTACATACGAATTTTCTAAGAATTCTATATTAAACTTTTTTTTTGTAGTTTGCGTTAACATAAAAAGATTGTCTTAAAATCAAAAATTTTTTTTTTTTTTTTGAAAATGCATTTAAAGTATGTAATTGGTATTCTGCTTCGTTTGTAAGCAAGCAAAGAAAAAAGAAAAAAAACAGCTGCAACTTCGATTCTAATGATCGAAGAACATAAGTTTAAGAAGATTCAGAAAGCTAAGAATTTTTTTTTTATTTTTAAAAATCGAAATTGCTGATTTTCACCTAGTCAGATACTTTAAATAAAATAATTCAGAAACAACATAGTCACTTACTGCTATACAAACAAGTCCCAAAAAAAGAATAAACGTAGATAGATGCTTCATGATCAATCTCTGATTTCTGTCAAATAAAAATCAAAAGTTCGATTTAAATTCTTATATATGCCTCGTGAGAAGCTTACTTAATGCTGCGTGCCACAGCTGTTCCCAATCGCATCCTGATAGGAAATAATCTATGCAAGAGATTTGCTTTAGTCCTAATTTATTTTCATCAAAGCACGTTTATTATCAATTATTAAAATGTAACACATGAAGATATTCTAAATATTTCTTTTATTGTGTTTTATTCATAGGAAAGTTGCTTTAAAGAACATTGTAAAAAAATTTTGGTGTGTAGTTAAAACCATTTTTTTGGTATTGAGGTAAACTAAAATTTTCTACAGTGCTTGTAGTACCTTTTTTTTTTACTTACTTTTTCACTGTTATAGCGTTATTTATTCATCCATTCATTTTTTGCTGTTTGGAAACTGACAACGCATATTTTAATACGCATTAGAATTATTTAATGACTTCATTTCTAAAGCATTCAGTTTAAGAAACAAGCTCATTTTTATTAATTCTTTCAAACACTTGTTATTTTGTATATTTTATATAATTTATTTCACGATAATTACAGTTCTGTACTAAAAAATGCATTTAGTTTATCTCAACACCAAATATGGGGTCAGCTATACACCAAAGGTTTTTACAGTGAACTAAAAGAATAAAAATAAAATAGCTACTTGAAGTCCATCAATGGTAACGCAGCAATTTTCTACAATATTTTGTACATTAAAATTAAAGGACACGAATAAATAGGAAAAATGTTTTAAATATTTCCTTAAAGTGACCACTACCATACCTATTTTTATGTTCTTGTCATTTTAGTAGTAACTGACCAAATTTGTATTGATTTAGTTTCATTAAATCCCAAGTATCCGCACATAGCAACAACATAACATAGTTCCTCAAAATTTTAGGTTCATCTCAAAAAGTCGAAATTTTATAAACTTTATGAACGTTATGACAAAACATAGAGTAAAACTGAATGCGTGAATGATTCCAAGAAAAAAAAATATTTTTACAGCTGTTCATTATTCCCCAACCAGTAATTCACGAAAATTATATAAGAAGTTCCAAATTTTTTTATAACGTATATTCAATATCGCGAAACAATATTGTTCGATATTGTAAAAACGTTTTGGAACGTCGATCGATATCTCTCAGCATTTCGGATATCTCTAAATTTATATTTTAAATTTATTTTTTGGAATTATAACAATTTGACGTCATGTTTTGTCTTTTGAATGATTAATTTTGATTTAAGAACACAATAAAGTTTAAAATGAAAAGTTTTACAAACAGACTTTTAATGTGAAATCGACCGAAATCGTACAATATCGTACACACAATGTCGATTTTCGCCAATATTGACAATGTCGGTCGATGTAGACTAAAGCTGTTACAATATCTCTGTGCTACTTGGGGTATAGAAGTACAAAGTAAATATTGAAATATTTGTTATGAAAGAAAATAAAAAAATTTTCTTTTTTTATATGCATAAAAATATTAAAAAAAAGTTAAATAAAATTATTTAATACCACAGAAACAGACATACTATAAGTTCCTGTTCTACAATGAAGAACAATCATCAATCCTGAAACAGAATTATTCAGAAAGAAAAATTCAACTGATTATAAGAATGGTTAAAAGTGGGTTTCCTTGATAGGAGAGAAATTTAGATGAGATAATAAAAGGCGGAGATAAAAACAGGTGCGGTGAGGTTGAGGTGTGAATCCCAGGAATTGCAAGTTTTAAAGAAAATAGATTTCCAAGAATCTGGAAAGAATGTCACCATGTTTTTCCCTCTCTTTTGATAATTGCTGCTTTAAGAAGAAAAACACAAGTAAAAAAAATTTAAAAATCAATTCCTGCTTAGGTCAACAAAGATAAGTTTTATTCCAGTTACTTTTTATTAAATAATTAGAATTTTTTCTCCAATATAAAACTAAAATTAATTAATTAAATTTAATTAACGAATTAATATTTGAAAAAACTGTATTAACATCAAGTGTCATCCACTACAAGTATGAAAAAATGTATTTGAACTTGAGTGGATGAATAAAAAGTATTTTATTAACGTGTAGCGTATCTACCACTACAAAATTACAATTACAATTCACTAGTATATAAGACATGTTAACTCGACTCTATGTTGGGGTACCTTTTCATAGATGAAGGTTGACATGGTCTGTAACTACTCTCCCCACATTGGTGACCTTCGGACGTGATGTGAACACGCCTACCTTGGCAAAAACGCCCACTTTGATCTGGATACGCCTACATCGGCAGTAACGCCTACTTCGTTGGATGGTCCACATTGAACAGTTGACTTGCTACTTGTGACTGCATCATTATCCACCTCCTCACGCAGTTGCTACTCAGTCTCATCTCGATCACACACAACGTTGGCTTGCATACACTCGACTGCTAACGGCAACACAGGAGCGACTACAACCGTGAAGTTAATACACCTCTCACATTCAGCACTCAAAAAAAAAAGGGTGATCTTAATACAGCTCTCCCGGCTTCGCACAAAACAGCAATGAATCAACTAGTGGCATCCATTCATCGAATTCTATCACAGCTATAATTCTGGTGGGGGAGTACTGTAGCGTATCTACCACTACAAAATTACAATTACAATTCACTAGTATATAAGGCATGTTAACTCGACTCTATGTTGGGGTACCTTTTCATAGATGACGGCTGACATGGTCGATAACTACTCTCCCCACAAACGATTGAAAATTTGAACACGATATATAAAATATATAGGGAGAGCGTGAACTAATAGTAGGAATTGAATAACTGTGTATGGAAGAAATCATTATTAAGCGCAATTAAAACTTTAAACGTAGCAATGGCAAGCCTTGATTTGACTCTCCGGGCCAAAAGTTCCCCCGCAGCGTTATAATTCAAACAAAACACAAATCTATTCAAAACTTTTTTCTTTTTACTTTAAAAAATCTATATCTCAATAATGCAATAATAGCGCACAGGAAATATACTTGGAAGACGAGTTATTTCGTCCACCGCGATAAAGGAGTGAATGTGAAAGAAAAGGTGATAAGGTGACTAGACCACAAGTGATAATAATGCATTACTAATTTAAAAGAACATTTTATTTTAGATAAAGTGAATATTTCTAAATCAGTTTATAGTTTTCAAAGTGCTGAAAGTTGTGTGGGAAAATTTAGTTTTGTGCTCGTGTGTCACTTTTTCTACAGTTTTTAAACAAACTCGAGAAATTATTTTAAATGAATTTCTGTAAGTACAAAACTCTTTTGTTAATTTCATACATTTTTACAAAAAGTAAAATTTTTGATTAGAAATTTTTTTTTCAAAATTCAAATAAATACTTGTGACTATCTCGCTTATTTCAATATTGTTTAAATCTTTATACAATCGAAATTTTTTCACTAAATTAAATTTTTAAATTTTTTTCTTATGTATTTCAAGGTCAAAAAGTTTGGTCAATGGTGTGTCCTCTATTGGGTGATATCACTATATCATGAAGCTTTAAAACAATAAATAACAAAAAAAATTATGTAAAATTTTGTAATTTCTGAATTTAGAATTCCAGACTTGAATTTGTTCCCGAAAAAAAGTAATAAATTTTATTTTTATTGACAATTCTTTCTTATTAATAACAATTTAAAGATTCCTATTCTGTTACAAAAAGGTTAGAAATTCACAATATTCAGCAAAGTATTTAAAACAAATGGGGAAATATTATTTGATTTAAAACTACATTTGCTTAAAAATTTACAAATTTGAAACAACAGATGACAGGCTTCAAGCGCTCAAAAGCAGGCTAACGTTTTCAAGACATGATGCGAATGAGAGTAAACAAAAGCGATTTGAAATATCATTGTTTCTTCGCATTCACGTCTGGCAAGTCATGGAAATGGGAACCTATTTTTGAGCGCTTGAAATATGTGGACTGTTATTTCCAATTTGTATATTTTTGAAGCAAATGGAATTTTTAATCAAGTAATATCAATACTGCTTCAGTTTCTTGGGATTAATTATTTAAACGGGGAAAGATTTTAATAGTTTAGGAACTTATACTTTCTTACCTTATAATTATCTCTCTGTGCCTCCTTAAAAAACGTGCCCTAATTAAACTAATAATATTATTATACTTTATTTGACTCTAAAAATTTTTTTTCACTAAAAATTCATATGTATGCAGAAAATGCAACATCTACATAATTTGTCACTAAAAAACTTGTTGTTTTTGTACAAATAAAATAGTCTTATTATCCAATTACACAAATATGAGCTTAATATTTGTTTTCCTTACGAAATAATTTAAAGTGATTTGGGAAAGAAAATGTTCACTGTCTTTTAACCCTTTGCACTCCGAGTACTATTAAATGCTGATTGATCTAATATTAGCACTATAGCATTTAAAATACACAATAAAGTTTTATTATGGATGGGTGGTCTAATGTAAACAATAACAAGAGTCCTTAAACCGGAAGAAATTTAGAAAATTTCTGGTGTATCCCTCCGTTTATGATAAGACTACGAGGCGATGTGTGAACAAGCCTAATATTCTATGCAGTTTTGTTATTGTAATTTGGGTTCAAATCTAAACATAATTGTACCATTCATAAGAGCTTTCAGAAATGTATTGATTCTCAGAGGTCGTAAGACCAAAAAAATTTTGGAAAGTTAATATCTCATTGTGAATAATTCTTAAGGTTTGCCATGTTTTGTATTTTATCCCTTATTTGGCTACATTTGAATAAAATGTCGCTAAAAATATCTTTAAAAATATCTTTTTAAGATAGCCTGATTAGAAAATATTCTAATGATTATAATATTAATATGATAATGCTGAAGTTTAAAAGCTGAAAGAAAGAACTCGGTACATGTGAAATACTGCAAAAGATATGATGCAATAATATGATGGCGCGTTTTTTCAATCTGCGGCGTAAAAATATATCGGAAGCAGTAACCCGGAAGTCTTGAAAAAGCAATTTTACCACTAGCGCCACCTCCCTTAGCTTTACACGATCACCCATCCATACAATTTAAAAATTCTTTTAATAATATGCTAACTAATTATTAAGGTGTAAAATTTCTTAATTTTAATTAATATTAAGAAATTTTACACTTTAATAATTAATTAAAGTAATAATAATAATTAGTACTTTAGAGTGGTGACTGTTTTTGGTGAATCAGTGCAGACATCGGAGTGCAAAGGGTTAATATAAATTTTTCACCATTTTACTGCATTTTTTTCTCCTGGTGTTTTTGAAAAATTAATGCATTTCAATGTAAATATTATGCATCTTTATTTTCATTTTGAAAATTTTCTCCATTAAAAAATGCACCAGAATTTAAAAGCACTGAAAGAAAACCACCGGGAAAAAAGATCTTGTAGCAGTTACATAATTTTAATCCTTTCGTACTCTAGTCCGCTCCGCTGAAGTGACGCCAATGAACGATGCACCTCACCGAGAAGTGTGTACATTGCATGTTAATATTTCTTATTATATTTTACCTTTGGGGCTAGAAGATACTTTCCTCCTAGATATTACACATAGTTCGAGGAAAACATGTTAAGCGCATTCAAGGTTCGAATTGCAAAACATGTTAAGCGGATTCAAAATATACTTTTAGTGGTATTTATCTAATATAGGATAGGTAAACGGAATATTAGACAAAGACTCTTTGAGGTGGTTACCAAACGGTATAACGTTGACGCTGGCTAAATACAGCTCTCGAACACGCAGGGAATCGCGCGGATGCCGGGTAAATACGGCGCTCGTAATGAAAGGGTTAAAATACCGATTCGATACAGAATGTTAAACAAAGGTTTAATGTAATTGAAAAAGTAGTAAAACGTTATTAAATTATTTGTTTAAAGTTAACTAATATGGGTTTTGGGAAAATGAACAAAGTGTTCCGTAAAGGCCGCCTTTAATATGCATTTCTAGAATCCGTATCTGAAAAGAAAAGAGTATTCACATTTCAAATCGCAAATTTTGAAGATGGAGGGAAACAAAAATGCTCACAAAATCTGAGAAGTTAGTAGAATGAGGTGAATATAATAAACATCAAAGCAGGATTGATAAAAGAATGTGTTTCTTATAATCATTTTCAACTCTTCCCGACTTCCTCTCGCATTCAAACCTGTCTTGTTGTTTATCACATGCTCCTTTATGTACCTAGTTTCGTCAAATTTCGAAAGCGTTTTTGTTTTCTCTCTTAAATGTTAATTTTTTACCCCAATGTGCAAACTTATTCTTTTTCCTTTTTTATAAGGATTCTAAAAATACACATCAGTTCTTATGTATAAGGAGCAGCCTTTACAAAACGTCCTGGAAATATATATTTTTAAATGTGTATAATAATGCACGTTAATTTCCAATTGTATATCGTACATTTAAAAGCATTATAATATATAATGTATCAATTAATAATATATTCTCACAAAGGGTTAAATTTTTGATAAGATAGTAATGTTAGTATATATATACGAAGAGCTCCATTTTAATAGTAATATTTTTCTTCTGTGGGTCGATCTCTACATATTAGAGACTCTCTTAAGAGTCGCTAATTTGTAGGGACTTATAAAAGGCTCCTCCTCCCTTCTCTTCACGCGAAAACCCCGTAACTATTTCAATACCATCATAATTTCTTTCCTAAAAAAGTTAATATTTTCTACAAAAATAAAGAACATCTTGTGAACAAAATACATAATAATAATTGCTCTACAGAAGAACAGTCTGTCGAACAATCTGCTAATCGTAACTAATTGAAAGATTTACTGGATTTGAAAAATAAACATCTGTACCTGAAAAACCGTTTTTAGCTATCAGATTATGTAATTATACTTTCTAAACAATATGAATGCTTTTGAAAGTTGAACTCGTCGGGCAAAAATTTAATTCGTGCTATCTTTAACTATAAATGTCACCGAATTATTGAAAAAGGGCTATAGTTTCACAATCTTACTAGAATCCTAGCGGCATGTTTCAATAAATAAGAAGAATATTCGTTCTGTAAAAATAGACAACTATATGATGTACAACTATGTAATGTTGCAAAAACATTGGATTTCATTGGACCACTAAAAATAACAAACGGTGATATTTTGCACTAATATAGCCAATAAGAGATAGCACTCAAAACATAGCGAATCTTTCACATTATTTATGTTGTGATATTGATTTTCTTAAATCTGCTTTAGGCTTACGAACTGTTAGAATTTTAAAATTGCAAAAAATTCTTATGAATGGTAAAATAACGCGTCATGAATCACAATAACAGAACTTCCTGGAACATTAAGCCTGTTCACACATCTCCTCGTAAGCTTAGCATAAACAAAGGGATACACCGAACGTTTTCTAAAATTTTTCTAATCTTAGGAAGTTTGTTATTGTTTAATTTCAGTCAGCATCCATATTTCCATCATTTCATTTTCTCACACATTCGGTGTATTCTGTCCAAAATCGGTTTCTTTATGCAAAGGAGAGCGTTGGATACATATCGAACTCTGACTTGAGAATGATAGTGTTCCGAAAATAAAGCAAAAGCATTAGCACACACTCTTTAGCGATTATCGATGTTTGGCGACAATCGATTACAATGTCGTCTCAAGCTAGTAGGTTTACTGTGATGAAAAAACACCGGCAGCTAAAACAAATTAAAAAAAAAAATAACGAAACGATTATTCTGCAGTTTCATCGTATCGAAATAATTTCAAATGGTTTTTGTTTGCATTTTGATATACGACTTCGCAGTGAGCTAGCAATTTCTATTCGGCAATTATTCTAAAATCATACAGAAATTATGTTAGAGAATATTCAATGAATAACGTTAATTGAAAGCGAAATTTTATTGGGGATTAATTACAAATTGCTTTTGAAATACATTTTAGAAGCTTTAAGGAGGGTTTGGGGTTTTAAATAAAATCAAGGTGAAGATTTGGTATTTTGTTTCTGCTCTACTCATTTAATTTAAATATTTATTTAAAGTGCTGTTAAATTATAGTTTTTATTAGAAAATAAATTGCAGGAAATATCCCCGCAGTTGGCACGACAGATCATGATACGGAAATATCCCTGACCAACTTGAAGGATATAGCCACCCAGGAACAAATATCTATATATTTTTCTTCTTCTTAATTTTTCCGTTTAAAATCAAGTTGGCGATTGTAGTTGGCGTGCAGATCACGATATGGAAATATCCCCGAATTTCCTTGTGCCCGATTAATCAAGAAAACATCCCATAATTGGAAATGTTAAAGTTGAGGATGCAAAATATAAAAACTTTCATCTTTTGTAAAAGTACCTACTTAAAGAAAGGAAACTTAATAACACTACTTATATCAGAGGAAATATTAATCGCCAAAGCGACAAATGGATTTTAAACTTGAATACTTTATTAAAAAAACATGTAGAGTTATTCCTTTCAAGTTAGTCCCTTTCTATGTTTATTATTATTATTTTTTTAGTTTCTCATGGGTTGCTCCGCAGAAGTTGTTAAGACTTTGCAATTATTCTGAAACAGATCACAAAATAAAACTCTTCCCCCTTTCTTTAGTTTCTCGCAGACTACTGTCCTGCAGTCACCAAGACTTGGCAATTATTTTGGAGCTGATCTCTAATTGGAAATCTTCCCCTTTCGACTATTTTGTAGATTTCTTTATTAATTCTTGTTAAAGTTAGACTTTATGATAAATCTAATAATTTTTTAATTCATGTTCAGAACCTGAGACATTCTCTGGACTTCATAAGAATGGTGTTCATTGCAACCTTAAATTCGAACTTTTCCAAAATATATAGTTTTTACCAAAATCAGAAAATAACATAACTTATTATTTCTTTTTGTTTGTATTATGAAATTAGGAATTGCTAAAAGGATCTCCGACTCTATTATAAAAAGCATTGAAATAGCTTACTATACATATTCAGAATCTCTATGTTGAAATTTCAGTATGGTGCAGTCAACCCCAATTAAAGGAATACCATTGGTTTCAGCCAATACTATTCAATTAAGCGGGCTAGTCGATTAAAAGGAGTGTGCATTATTCAATTTTAAGTGCTTAATTCTTATGAAATTTTACTTTTTAAGGGTATTTAATGTATAGCTCTGTCTTATAAATAAACTCAATGCTCATGCTCAACTGTACTCTTATAAATAAACTCAATGCTCAACTGTAATGCTCTGTCTTATAAATAAACTCAATTTTATATTGAATAAACAATCATAATTTAAACTGTGTTAGTATTCAGGGGTCTGTTTAGAAGAAATTTGAGTCTGTCAACAAACCCTTCACAAAATATCTTTTCATAAAAACGGACCCTTCACAAATTTGTTTATTTTCATTATTGTTTTGTTAATCGACTAAACCCTTCCCGGGGAAAAAAAAAAAGAAACATGGTTCGAAACGAACTAAATTTTCCCTAAGTTTAAATTCCAAATGTAGTATTCTATGAAAATATTGCTATATTTATTTACAAACATCGTGTGCACATTTTTATTGATATTAAATGATATATATATATATTGTAAATAAATAATTAATCAATTTATATTTATTCATAAAATTAATTAATAGAACATTATGTAAATAAAAATTAATTTCTGGCAATTTTTTAAATAAAATACTATAAATTTAAGAATCGTTTAAATTTAATTAATGCGTTACACATTAAAAGTGATACATAACTAAGTTGTGTTATTTAAAATATGTCAATTGAAATCATTAAAAATGTGAGTGATTTTGTTACCATTATTCGTCTGAAATGAATATTCTGTGTTGAGCAGTAGTGACTAAATACCGAATATTTGTATGTTGCATCGCTAATTTAGTAGCAGCAATTGTTGAGCAGAATCTTGTATCTATTTACAATTTAAAAACTTCTTTAAAAAGGTTTTTAGTCATTTTTGCAATAAGAAGACCCTATTTGCACTAATTCACAAAAGCAGGAACCTGGTTGAAAGAAAGTGACTGAACGCATATTTTATATTCACAAATTATGAGTAGTTTTTTCACAATTTTACAAAAACATGACCTTTCACAAAATGTCTGGACAGACCCCTGGTATTATAAAATGTAGATATCATTTAAAGTTGTATAAAAATAAATCTATGCAAATGAAAAAAAATAATAATACTGGTACTATAATATTATTTTGTTCCTTTCCAAAGCTGTTCCTTCCGACTGATCAGAACAGCCACACTCGTGGCATTTACTAAAATCGAAACAAACTATAAAAGCAGGATGACAACAGAAAAAAAGAGAATATTAAAAAAACATTTGCTCCAGAGACTTCCATCTTATAATGCGTGTAAAATAATGTTAAATATGAAAAATGTATGGTATATAAATTGATGTCTTGATATCAATTTTTTGTGCATAACACTTTGTTTTTTTCACTTTGTGTCACAATTTCTCCTAACTGGCTTATCATGCTTTGTGTTCCTATTTTTGTTTTTAACTAGTTGGCAGCTATGGAAGAGAAAATTAGAAATCTTAACACAGAGTGTTCCCTTTTTAAGAGCAACAGTTTCAAAATTAAAATATCATAAATATTTCAAATAAAAATATATAAGTAAAATGTCATAAAATCTTAATATAAATATTATTACCGATTTCTGATGCTTGAAACATTTTTTGTGTAATTTTTTAATTATATTTATTTGCATTTTACTTCTGAAATTATGTAAATAATTTAATTTTTTTTTTTTAAAGTTTGATGACCAATTATTCTGAAAATCATGGGATTCTTCAAGAAAGCACTTTTCCAAAGGGGTTTCAGAAACTTCTCTCAGTTGCTAATGTTGAAACTTCTCTAGATTATTTAAATGTGTTTCTACATGCATGTGCTCTAGACGTTGGGTTCTTGCCAAAAGTTTGTATTAAATTTTTTAAACTTAATAATTTTTTAACTATTTTATTTTGATAGTTGAAGAAAGCATACATAAATACTAATAGAGCTGAGTGTCTTTTTAATGGCAGCCTCTATTTAAAATCAATATATTGCAAACCTAATTCCTTCATAGTAGATAAATCTGTATTTAAGAAAGAAAGTGCCTCTGTTAAATGTCAATAAATTTTTTATGCGTAGAAAATTTTTTGTTAATTTTTTTTCTGATTGAAATGATTTTCTATACGAAGAAAAATTTTTGTTTGTAATTGGGTTGATAAACAAGGAAGAATTTTTTCGATAGAAACTTTCTTTAACTGTGTTGAAAGTCTTTTAGCAGCTGACTTAAGAGATGTATAAGTGAAATTTTCAAAAACATTATGAATGAAAATGAAGAAGAAAGTGAAATTAAAAAAGGAAATAATAAAGTCACCAGTGTCACTGATGCAATTACTGCTTTGGTGTCATGTATTCAGAAAATATACTATTTCATACAATAAAGTATTGCTCCTTTAATATGCTCAAAAACTCGAAACTATATGGGGGAAAAAGTTATTATTAATGAAAATGCAATTAAAACAATAAATAATTAAGTATTTTTTTAAAATAATTTATTTTATTCTTGGGCTTTTTTACTTTATTTTTGTTTTTACTGTTATATTCTTATAATAATGTAATTTGTACACTAAAATATAGTTAAAAAAGCATTTTTAAAATTGTTAATTTATTGCACAATAAATTTACAGTTCTAAGCCTCCAAAAGTGTGAAAGGAAAAATTTTTCAAAAGTCATTTTTCTACAAATTCTATTTAAAGATGTAGGCAGGTTTGGCATAATTTAAATTCACTGTGATTTTTTTTAAGCCATTAATGCAAGCAAGTTAAACTTTTTTTCAAAAAATAATTAAGTATAAAGTATTTTTTGTACAATAAGTTAGTGAACACATTTTTTCGGGCTTGATTTTTTTAAATATCTGATTTCAGTGATAACGAAGGTGGTTTTTAGTAAGAAATAATGAAAGAGATATACTTATAAATTATTATATTTTTCAAGCACATATTTTTCATTTAAAAAAAAACATTGGCTTAAATAAACAGATTTAAAAAAAAAATTATTTAGGATGGAATTATTTTTAAAGTCTATTTTATAATGGAGATATCTTGTTTAGAAATAATACAAAGGAAATCCATGTAAATTATTATATTTCAAAATAGATTTACTAAAAGAGAGAGACTAAACGTTGATAAGAGTATCAAAGTTCTAAATTATAATTTTCCATTATATGTATGTAAAATAATTTGCAAATAAAATTTTTTTTTAATTACCCATTTAGTTTTATGCTTATTTAATTTCAGTAAATATATTGTCTGTGTACATTAACTTGAAAAATCAAAGTAATTAAAAAAAAATCAGTAATTTTTTTTGATCTAAACTAATTTGCTTTTCATTAGATATCTAATAGGCAAATTGTCACCAAACCTTTATCATTCATTAGCAAGTTGAGCTTGAAAAACATAACTATGAAACTAATTCACTGATTAGCTTAAATAATAATTTTAACCATTTCAGTAAGAAATATTAATTATTTAAACTATAATGTTGTTTTTGACATTAAGTATTATTAATGCATCTTATCAGATGTTTTGGCTAGTAAATGTAAAAAATAAAAAGAAGTTGAATAAATATATTTTTATGATTTAAAAAAAAAAAATGATTTTAAATTTTCTTACGATCCATTCAACGTTAAACAGATAGCTGAACAAGAGTTTGCAGAGTGTTGTATTGATAGAATTTGAAATGATATCAGTATTAAACACTATTAATGACTTACTAGTTTTTTGTTTGTCTTTGAAAGATATATGAGAAAAATTTTAACAGTTTAGTCGAGGAAATAAGCTTACGTTGGACAGATGTTATTTATACAAAATAATAATGACAAAAAATTCTGTAATTCAATTACGCGTGAATTGGCAGAGAATTTAAGTAAAAATGTGTATTCTGATCTAAATTTAATTTGTATTTGTTAATAGATTTATAATCTAATAGGAAAATCATATTTAGAAACTGTAACTCTTCTATATCTTAATAATGCAGATTAAAAAAATACCAAATATTTTTTATTGCACATTAATAAATTTTTTCTCATTGCTCATAGTTTATACGGTTAACTGAAAAATGATAAAGAGAGAAAAAAATATTAATTTTAAATAAAAACATATAACAAATTAATTTTACTATGAATAGTTATTTAATAAGTTTTATCTATTTTCTTATTTAAAATAAAAAAAATTGATTTAATATTAAGATGTTTTATTATAAGAAATATAATAATTTAAATTTTTTATTACAATTATTTAAATTAGAATGTATTTAGTTTTTATTCAAATAAATTTTAACAAAAATTTTTTTAAAATTTTTGCAGTTTTAAAAAGTGTTATGTTTATTTTCTGTTATGTTTAATACTTGTAATAACAATGTAAACTATTGATTGAAAGTACAGTACAGAACCTCTTATCCGGAAATCAGAAAACCGGAACGACATTCGATACATTTTCCCGCAATTTAAATTTATTTATTTATTTTTTTCCTCAAAAGATTTCAGAATTCTTCTCTCTTTTTTAAAAGATGTTTACCATCATTTTTGAAATAATCATTACTTCTCTATACTACCAAAAGAGGTAAGAGTTTTTTAAAATTATTCTAAATATATATATATTTTAGTTGAATTTGACAATAAAAAAACGGCATTTTGTAGCGATTCCGAAAACCTGAAAAATCAGTTATCCGGAATGGCGATGGTCCTGATCGTTCAGGATTATTGGTTCTCTACTGTACCAACTTCAGAGTAACTTTGTGCAAAAAATGTAATATTAAATTTACAGTTTGCCTATTTCGATTGTGAAAAATATGTTTTTACCAATTTTAAACATTTATGGGATCTTTTGTAGAATGTTGATGAACAAGATGTTTATAACAGTATGCCAGAAGGTTGGAAAATGATCGGTGTGTGGAAATTTCAATATTACCATAAATCCTGTCCAGAGCAATTTTGCTGGATGACTTGTATATCTCTTTATTCTTTTATTACTATCCATGGTGCAGTAGAAAGTGGAAGCTCACAAAACAACATTTACGTTAAACTAAAAACTACAGACTATCTAAATAGTAACTCTGAACCTAAAGGTAAGAATGGTTTATTTTTCATGTATACTGAAGCATAAGTTAACTTTTCATCCCTCCAATATTTTATTAAAATTGGTTGGTTGACTTATACATTGGTGATAAAATCGGACATTCATATTTCATAAAATATCAATGCATTATAAACTATGAGCAAGATATGAATAACTCTGTATTCATCTATTCTTGCTATTTTTACTATAAAGTTAATTTTACCTTTTCTCTAATCATATTTTCTTTACCAATGAAAGTTTTTTTAAAAGCAATATTTCAAACTACATTTAAAAAAAAAATTAAAAATAAGAAAACTTTATTTTTCAAGAGTATTTAAAAAAATATGAAACAAAAAAAACTTTTAAAACATGCCATAAAGCTACAACTTTAAAGATTCTGGAATATCATCTTCGTCAGATTCAGTGTTCATCTGTGGCAGAATTGTGGCGATATTGTTGCGGAACAATGCAGAGTTTTTGCAGAAAGATTTTTCATTTGGGAAGGGAAAAATTTTGGTTTTCCTTTTTGCATAATTTTTTGAAAAATGTTTTTTTTTCTTCAGCAAAACTTTTTTTCAAAGATGTCTTTCGAGCGCATCAGAAAGGAAAGAAAAAATCGTGATTTTTCTATTCTCATTTGGGATTTAACAAAAAATTCCATAATGACTGGCTTCAGATAGAATTTCAAGTTAATAATATAAAATAAAAAATTGAGAAATCGCGAAAGTTTAAAAGATTATTCGCTCTAGAAATGATGTCCTTCCTTTCATTTTTTTTCTTTCAAGGAACACCATATTTTACATACACTTATTTGAGAGGAAATAATAGTGCACTTTTACAACTACAAAATGCGAGAAAGCGCCTATAATATTTGTATTAAAAAATATTTCTTTTGCAATTAAAATTTTTTATACATTTTTGTTCTATACTTTCTTCAGTAAACATGTTTCTGTTACTTTAAATTAGTAATTGTAATAATTAAGAGTATCTTAAAGAAAAATATTAATGCTGGGGAAGTTTATTGCAGAAAGCTCGAAAAAATTCTGCCACAGGGGATTCAATAATGTTAATAGTGATGTCATACAGACCCCTCTCTTCATTGGATGTTTCATACTGATCTGCTGAATCCCACAAAAAACCGTCTTTACCCCCATCCAAAGATTTCAAAATTTCACACAATCAACAGCAGGGTTCGTTGATTTAAATCAGCTTGATTTAAATCGGGATTTAAATCAAATAATTTTTTAAAAAAATCATTGATTTAAATCAGCTAATTTTTTAAAAATATATATATTGATTTTAAAAGTTAAAAAACAGTGTTTTAAATTATTGATACTTTTATTGTTTTCTTTTCTTAGTTTTAAAATTTATTTGAAATAAATTGCTGTGTTAATTAATTTTAGTTAACGAAATTATTTTCTTTCTTAGTGTGTGTTAAATTCCAACACATTTGAAATTACATTTTAAAAAATCTTTTGATTCTTGAGATTGAAAGTACACATTTAATGCTGTCTTAATATAGACTTGCATAGCTATAGAAAGTAATTAATAGACATGAATTTCGAGGAAAAGAAATACAAATAATCTTAATTAAAGTTCTACCTTTTGATTGAAATAGCATGGAATTAAAATCTACATTATATTTTATTGGTGGAAAATGCATATTTCTAAAGCTTGAGGTTATATTAAAAAGAAATAACCCTAATCTGCCTAAAATAGAAAGAAAAAAAAAAGGCTAATAAATTCAGATATTTTTTCCTAATATGTTGTCATTCTTCCCTTTCAAAGTTTATTTGAGGCAGTAGAGTTATTAACTGGTAACTTGTGTTTTTTTCTCATAATATGTTTACAGAATCTTTGACATTATCAGATTTTCTATAAAGAAATTTTGTGAAAAAAATTTCAATGAGTGCACAGATTTAAAAAAAATTTTTTTTAGCTGATCTATTTTGATATAGAATTAAAAATGAATATTTTATTATAAAAATATATAGATTAAATAATTTATTTATTTTTTGATGAATGACTACATTTATAAACACAATCTCTTACATTTATTTTGTCAGATTAAAAATCAAGAGAAAAAAAAACATAATTTTAAATTAAAATTATGGTTTGCTAATTAAAACTTTAATTTAATAAATAAAGAGTCTGTCCAAGCCAAATTTGCTAATGCTTAGGGTACCTTCTCAAATTCAACTTTAGGAAAAGAATACTTTTTTTTAAAAATTTTATTTTTGTGTTTCGTAAGAAACGAATAAATCCGTATTTTTGCTTTGATTTTTTAATTTTTCACAAATTATGTCTAAATTTTCACGAAATAAATACCTCTCAGAAAGACCTAGACAGACCCCTTTTATTAAATTCTCTATTTCATCTAGTCTTCAAATTTCAATCATGCATTTGTTTCAGAATGGTTGCTATGCTTTCAAAGCTATGTATTATAATGAAAAATTATATTAGTAAGTTAGAGCTTCTAAAATATTGTTAATAATATTGTCTTAATATTAATTTAATTTTGATTAAACATTTATAAAGTATTTTTAATCACAAATTAAAGTTCTTACAATGTGTTTGATTAAAAAAAAAAAAAATCTGATTTAAATAAAAAAAATCCGATTTAAATAAAAAAATCTGATTTTTTAAAAAAAAATCACGAACCCTGATCAACAGTGTTCGACTTATATACTGGGATGTATGGTAAATAATTTATTGATCACAATACCATACAAGGCTTAATGTTCTTCATTAGCTTGGCTCAAGTTAATAACAGTTATAAAATTTCTCATGCTGGTTATATATAGGCTTTTCCAGTTTTTGGCAACAAACTGAGGATCCCAAATTTACAATTCAAAGGTCACAGTGTGTGCCTCCCTATTTTTCATCCTTGCTTTTGAATTTAAATAAAGTAGATTTGCTTTTCCTTATATATTTAAGCACCATTTATTAATCTGTGTTTTCCTATATTTTATTTAATTAGGTTTATATTCTGTGAAAGTGATCCTTTTACAATTCTTTTTTTTAAAAAAAAAAATACCATTTTCTTTTCCTGTTGTATCTCATTTGTTAATTTTTCATGAATCTTGATCTTTTGAAATTTTCTCTTAAAATTGAATGTTCATCATTGAATTTTTTTCAAGTAATAGTTTTATGTTTCTTTTGGTTTGGCACCTTTTTGTAAAACTATGATTAAATTTGTTTTATATTTTAGCCGTAGAGGACTTCTTTAAGAACACAGAGAAACTTGAAATAAAATTTAAAGATAGATTTTGTTTCCCTTTGTTAGCTGCTCTCCAGGAAAGTAAGTTTATTAAAAGTTTAGCAAATACTGAACGATTCGATTTTTATATTATTATTAAAATTTACATTTAAAATTCTACTACTTGCAATGACTTTAACCTGAAGGGATCAAAAAACTTGGCATAAAAGTTAGAAGATATATTTTTAATTTTATATGTAATTTATTCATTTTTAACAATAACAAATAATTACTTAAAATTAAAAATCTTTAGAATATTTTGAACAAAATATCTGAACGAAAAGATTCGCATTGGCATTAGTATAGCATGTCACATTTTTATTTATTTTTAGACAAATTTTATGTTATAAAAATATCTAGTGCTATCTGATATATTTGTTCCCTTTACTTTATTATAAAATGTTTTTAAGTTTCTTAAAGAAGAAAATAGTTTTTTAAGATATGTTTTTTTTATCATTCAATAAATTTTTTTTTTTACCATTAAACTCTGCATCAAATTCTCTTGTTTACCAATTCAGTTTCCTTAAATCCTAAATATTTGTTTCATTATATATTTCAAATTGTCTTGTTGCAACTGGGTGAAATTTCTTTGCAAACCTACAATTATTACTGACATGATGATCGAATACAACTGTATATCAAAGGAAAATATTTAAGTCATAGATGATGCTAACATGACTATATAATTCTTTAGATATAATATTTAACTTTATACTGCAGTAAACGTTTAACGTTTCTGTATTCCGACAATATTTGAAGCTTTTCAATATTATTCTATTTCCAGAGAGCTGATAATATTATATTTCCAGAAAAAAACTATTTCCGCAGTAACTATATTAGTATCCCTTAGAACAGATACACATTACTTCACTGATGTCAATAATAACATGTCAAACATTTACCATCCCTAAAAACCTTTTTCTAAGTTTCAAAACTTGATTTAATTAATATATTGATAAATTAAATAGTTTTAATCTCATTTCCACTTAGGATAATTTCAGCTTTAGAAATATTCTATTCTGTTCTTTAATTTGCTCTTAAAATATCTTAACGTAATTGATTTAAAACATTTTTTATTCAAGATGCTGGTTGTGCTCCGACCTTTGGATTTTCTGCTGCTGTTGATGAAGTGAAGGTAATTGTTTAAATAAATGTTAAAAAATTTTTATAGCAAATTTCTTTTAAAACAGCTCCTAATAATTCTCAGTTATTGAATTTAAATTTTATGTGTTCAAAATTTTTGGTATTATTCTTTGAATTTTTATAGGAGTGGATAATATATTTTTCTTCAGCATAATATTCAGAAGCTTCTGAGAATTAAGGGTTACTCTAATGAAAAGTGTGATTGTGTCAGAAATACAGCAGCAATAACATTCATTGTTAAAATATAAAATTAGGGTATGAAATCTGCATTGTAGATTACATTTATCTAATTGAACAGTTCAAGTAAGAGCTTTTAAATGAATGTAAAGTAGTGTTAATGATGAGTTAATTCAGAACAAAATAACAGTTGTATGGCTTGCTAACAATGTAGTTATATGGCTTTATTGAAAAATGGTAGCTTTTACCAAGAGAAAAAGCAGCACTTCTGTCTATTGTACTATCCTGGATAAAAACCATTTTTAGCATCACTTATTAACATTCACTTTAAATGCTCTCAGAATGACTGGTTAATTAGTTATATTCAATCTACCATGCTCGGTATCTATTTTCTTTTATAACCTTAGGTGTTGCTATCGCATTTCTGCCGCTTTCACACAGGACCACTTTTAATTTGAAACACCTTTGTAACAATTTGTTCTTTAAATTATATTGAATTTAATGATATGGGAAATAAATTTAAATTATCTTTTATGTTCAGCAATCTTTCAGAAAAATATCTCTTTCAAAAGTACATAATAGTTTTTATTGTGTAAGGGAGCTGCACCAAATGAAAAGCGGGACACCTTAATCTTAATTAACTTTTGATTTAGTGATCAGATTTTTATTTGTTCAATGGTTTGATAGTTCGATTTTAAGCATACTAATTAATTTGTGTAGAAGATTGAAAAATCATTCACACAAATGCATTTCCTTGAAATAGAAATGCCTTTCCTTGGTGACTAGATTTAGGACTCTTAAAATATGTGAAGGGTAATTGCAATCTGAAAAATATGATCCCTAGTTTAGCCTGGAGAGTTTGATTTGTTCATTTCACTTTTTGCATATTTTTCCATTCTAGAACTATTAAATAGAATCAAAAAGGTTTCGTGCCCAGTTATGTAACTTTTATCCAAAGATAATTTCCTGTAAAACATTTTTATTTTTTATTCTTAAGTTAAAGAATGTTTGATATAGTTTTGAGTTGTAAGACTATGTCTTTTTAAATCTCAAAATTCCTATCTTGCGTGAAATTGGCTGAATAGTTTTTGAATAATGAAATTTTAAAAAAGTCTTTTATTAGATTTCTCAAGAAATATTTTATTATTTCTGTTTGAGTTCCGTCATTTAAAATAACAAAGTTTAAAATAAAGTTAAAGTTTGCTACCTTTCCCTATAGAAAACTATTTAACCATTATTAAATTGAATAATAAAACATTAAATAATCATGAACATTAGTTTTTACAGCAAAAAAACTTATTTATATTTGGATAAAGGTAGGGCATTTCTATCTAGATAAATCGAGCAGTTTAAATTATGAGAACACTTGTTTAGTTTTTTATATTCTCCAAAAATGTAAATTTCCAAAATTGTAATTTAGAAAAGTTCTCAATTATTGTTAAATATTAATTTTTATTTATTTTTTATATTTAGCATTATTCATGATTGAAAATTATTCAAGTAAAGCTGTATAAAATAGGTATAAATTCAGAGTAGCCCTTATTCTCATGAAAATAATTTTTACAAATATTTATAATAATTTGAACAAAAATTAAAAAAAAAATATTTTGAATTAATATTGAAAAAAATCCGTATAAAAACTTATTATTTTTTTAAAATTTACTACAAAATACATTTCGACTTATTATGCAATAATATTCTTCAAAGTTAGTTTAATTTTTAAAACATTACATTGTTTCGTTTTTATAGATGTACATATTGCAACTATTACCGGTCCAAAATGTTATTGCTATGTCCCTTGTAAATAAAGATTGTAATCGAATAGCTAACTCACCTTTCCTATGGAAACATCTACTCATTAGGGATTTCGGATTGGGTAAGTATCTAGTTTTCTTTTAACATGTTTTTCCATGTAAAAAGTTACCTTATATATTTATAACCTTCATAGTAAAGTTATGCTAAAATCATTTATAAAAACAACTATTGTGTCCAAATTTTTATTTTTTTAAACTATTATTAGCATTGATTGACTTATAAATAATGTGAGATATTGATATTTTATGTATTAACTTTTTTCGTTCCCTAAAAAACCTTTATCAAGGTGTTAATGTCTTGAATTAAATTATTCTGAGGATAAAATATTTATATTGAAAGATAATACTATTTCCATAAAGCTTATTTTTGCACCAACTATTAATTAACATAATGTCATTCAAAAGGTTCAATAATTTAAAATTTTGTTTNCCTTTCCAAGAAAACAAATATTATTATCATTTCAAAAAAAGACTTTCTGATATTTTTCACTAGAGTTACATTATTTTTAATTTAACTTTTGTAACTTAGTGATAATAGTGCTTGAAAAGTTTTTAAAAAGTGCTTATTTTTGATTCAAAGATTTGGCTACGCACCCTGCCTTTTAGGTAAATTAATTTAAATAAAAGCCATATCTTTTTAAATGTGAGGCTTTAATTTAACATATAAATACAACTAATGTTAAATCTTTTTGTGAAAAAAAAATTTGCATTTTAGTCTTTTTATATTGAGCAATTCCAGTCTGAAATAATGACTCATAACGACGTTTTAGTAAAATATGACAAGTAAAATTTAATTTTTACCTTTGAGTTAATGAAAATTATTTTGCTTTTTTTCAGTTGATGATCAATCAGTATCATCTAATGAAAATTATAAAGAGGTAATTTTTTATATTATATCTTGTGAGTGATTACCATTTTATAGCATTATTTATTAAGATATCTTTTTTAAAAAATATTTATTTAATCATTTTTTTTCTAATTATTTTTAAATTTTATGTGTTTTTTTTTAAACTTTAATTTAGTATACCATGAAAAAAGCTCAACAACTTCAACTATTTCCTCTGAAAAATTTATTCCATTCAGAAAAATCGGTTACCTTCCCAAGAAACATGGCAACAAAAACAATGAACATAATTTTTTATTTTATTTCTTGTAACTGTATATATAGACTATTTTGACATAATATAAAAATGCATGAATCGAGATTTTTTTTGCTTATCTTTCTTCAAAATTACTTTATACTATATCATATTTTGAATGATTTATTGAGTATCAATAAAACTAAGAGTGTTAAACTTATTTAAGTAGTTTTTAATTATATGTTATTGAAAATTGACTTTGATCCATTGTAAATATTTAAAACAACCAATTTAAACAAATCAATTGAATAAAACTATCATTGTTTATAGAATTGTATTTTAGGTATCACAATGTAAATACTTTGTATACCTTAATTTTTTGTTAATATATATATTTTTCTATCAGTTGTATAAAACGGAATTTGTCAAATCAAAAAGAAGAACAAGAATGGTATTTCCTCCAGCAAGTCCTTCATTCCGTATTCCTAGTTTTCCACCCAGTTATATTGATGTTAGAAGAGGTAAATTACTTAATATTTTCTTTAATTTAAAGCAATATTTTTGTTTTTAATTATTAGAAAGAATTATTAGAAAGTTTAAATTCAAAAAATTACATTGATTTATAGTGATTCTGCTAGACTTTGGAAAAAAGAGCATCTTAGGGGCGCGATTTATAATTTTTATTTTATTTTCTATAGCAGATTTTAATTTAAAATATAAATCCTTTTTATATTATAAAAAAGAATAAAAATGCAAATGCAGCTACCAATTGATTTAGAAATAATTTAGCAAAGTAATATAACAAAAAATTTCCATATCAGTTGCCTTTAAAACTTAAAATCATTTGATCTTAACAAAGTAATTGGAGACACAATCTTTAACTTTTTTTAAACTTTAACTTAAATAATTCTGATTTGATAGTTTAAAATATCACTTCTCTAAGAGAAGGATAAAAAAATTATCACCAAGAACTTAGTATGTATATTACTTGTGTGTAAAAGAATTTTTAAATAACACTACACAGCTTAAACATAATTTTAGCTTAACAACAAATTCTATGAAACAATGTGTTCACTAAAGGAAATACCAAAGAGTAAAGGAAACAGGGTATGTGCTACATTTTAGATTTTCAAATTCATGACTTTCCATGACTAATTCAAAGAAGTTTTCTTTACTAACGAATGTACTATCTTCTTCTACATAAACACAACAATTAATTAAAAAAAGCATTATAACAACATCAATCGAAATGATAGGTATGACCAAAACTGTTATACTGTGCATCTTCATATTTATAGATTTTAAATTTAAAAAAACAGAGTAAAGAAAGAGAATAATTTGTTTTTCTTCCTTTCTGCAGAACTATATTCTAGAGATACTTTTCTTGTTCATTGGAAAGGAAAGAAATACTCCTAATTTTTCTGTTCTCATTTCGGTATAAAAAAATTTGCCAATGACTGGCTTGCTTCAGCTAGAATTTGAAATTGATAAGATAAAATAAAATAAATAAATAATAATAAAAATTCTGAAATCACAGAAGTTTAAAAGATAATCCTTTCTAAAAATGATGGCTTTTCTTTCATTTTTTGAAAGATCACCATAATTTTTAAAGAATATGATAAAAACATTGTATATTTTAATAAAACATGACTGTGAATGGGGATTTTGTTACAAATTCAGATATTCAGTACACCGTGAAATTGGGGGGAGGGGGATTAGTATTTTATGAAGGATGGGAGTTATAAAAAACTAGTTAAAATCATGACTTTCCAAGTGTGCGAATACCAGGGTTCGCCAAGTGGGCCCACTCTGAAAAAACCCGCCCGGGTTTTATTGGGCGGGCCCACCTTGAAAAAACCCACTTGGAACGATAAGTGGGTTTTTTCAAAAAAAAAATTTTTTTTTTACTAAAACTTATTGTTTTGCATTTACTTTTAGATAATTTATAGTGCAGCATGTCAAATTGAGTTGCATGATTTATATAATTAAGTTTTTAATATTAGTAAAGTAAAAAAAACTTGAATCTTCATATAATTTTATAGTAGGTATCTACTATTGAAAACTTAAAGTGGGTTTTTTCAAAAAGTAATATTTTAATGATATTAAATCAAATAAAAATTTAAATAATATACTCTGAAAAGATCAATTTTTCAAATATAGTTGCATGCTTTATATATTAATAAACAGGTTATTATTATTAATTCATATGTTTAAAAAAATTGAAAAGAAATTTTTTTTTTCTTTTTTTACCAAGTGATACATTAACAAATTTAAACAGTTTTATTTTCTGGCTTTAAAAAAAAAA